CGCTACATTTATATTCATCTAGTCAAGATTTCATCATAAACAATCACAGAAATGGATCAACGTTCATTTGTTGAGAGCTTATTCGATACAGGATGTGAGCCATTGCCACATCATGGAGAATCGCCTAATACGCTGCAAAGTCAATTTCCAAATGAATTTGCCGGTCTAAATGACATACCGATATTTGAAGATGTTCACATTCACGGTCAGGGAAGCCACATTCCAATTGATTTGGATGATATTAAAGTTCCCGAAGCGGAACATGAAGATGAAGATCAGCAATTAAACATCCTAGATGCGAGGGAAAAGCGAAAGGCCAAAAAACAAGTAAAATGTTGGGATCACTTTAAGTTGATTTCAACAGAAAAAGTCGTTGATGGCCTTGCAGAATCTAAATCAGTATGTAAATACTGCCAACAAAGATTGGCATGGCAAAAAAGAATTGGTACCATTCATCTCAACCGCCACTACAAATCATGTGCAGCCAGACATGGACTTCTTCCAGCTGGTCAAACACAATTACAATTTGGCAGTCCAGGCGTCGGTTCTACAACTTCACCCCTATCCACGTGGGTGTATTCGGAGGACGAGACTCGAACTGGAATGGTGAAATTTGTTGTCGCCACTGAGTTACCTCTGGTTATTGCAGACAATCAACACTTCGTCCCGTTCATGAAAGAATATCTACAACCGAGGTACGTTGGGGTAAGTCGAAACACTCTTCGTGCCGATATAATAAATTATTTCGATAATTCAAAACAACAATTAATTATGGATTCGCAACAATATGAGGGTGTTATATCCTTAACTTCTGATATTTGGGAAGGGGTTAATAAAAGAGTATATATAGCTGCAACCGCACACTATATAGATCCACTTTGGTGCATGCATAAGAAAATTATTGCTTTTAGAATTATTGAATTTCCTCATAATGCTAATAATATATATAATGCTATTATCAGTATTGTTAGAGAATATCATTGTGAGAGTAAAATTCGATCTTTTACTTTTGATAATGCTAGCGTTAATAAGGTAGTCATCGATAAATTGTGTAGGGCACTTCAACCTGATTTTGATAGGTATTTGTTTCATATTCGTTGTGTGTGTCATATCTTGAATTTAATTGTGCAAGATGGTTTAAAACATATAAAGGATGAACTTCAAAGAATTAGGAATGCATTAGTTTATATTACGATCTCTCCTAATAGAAAACAAGCATTTGAAAATTTCGAACTAGGGGTGATGACTGCTAAAACATTTGTTAGCGACGTAAGTCATAGATGGAACTCTACATACTTGCTATTAAAATCATGTGAAGGTTTAGAAAATTTAATAACTGACTTTTATAATAATAGACATGTTAAAAGTGATGATGATGGTATGTTAAATGAATCCGATTGGATTTTAGCTTTGAAAGTTAAACGATTTTTGACATCTTTTTATGAGACTACAAAGATTTTATCCGGCGTTTATTATCCCACAAGTTGTATGGTACTTGAACGCCTTTATATAATTGCAAGAACATTCCATAAATATAAAAATGATCCTACTTTTAGTGAAATTTTAATTGCTGTGGAATTAAAGTTTAGAAAATATTGGGAAAAACTGCCTATGTTATTTCCTTTAGCATGAGCAATGGACCCCTGATATAATATTTCGGGAACTAATTACGTAATTGATCAAATCAATAAAGTTTTAATAATTGATACACCTATCACCTATAAGAATTTAGAGCAAACATTATGTGGAATGTATGATTTATATGCGGAAAGAATGGGTGCAAATGTTAGTCGGGTACCCTCTACTGCACCTACTCTTCTGCTGAAACTGAAGAAGATGCTGCGAAAATAATGAATTTATTTCAGGGCATTAATACATTTAGATATGATGCAACTGCAATGTGTACATCTAGTGTCATGTCGTCTACATCTGCATCTCATCAAATATCGGTCGAAACTCAAAATACGATGTCTGCTGAATTAATTGATTATTTCAATCATAATATGCCAACAGACAGAACAATTAAAAAAATTTCAGAAGAAGTAATTGAATTCTGGCGAAAGTATGAAAGACGTTGGCCAATTGTTTCTGCAATTGCGAAAGATCTATTGACACCTCCGGTTAGCACTATTGCTTCAGAGTCTGCTTTTAGTGCAGGTAAAAGGGTTTTAACTGATGTCAGGAGTCGACTGAAAGAAGATGTTTTGGAAGCGTTAATGTGTGTGAAGGATTGGCAGGACGCTCATTTTCGACTACAAGATAAATACGCTGAAATTGCATGTCGTCAGGTAAGTGATATTTGATTTAATTATATTAATCAAATTATTTATTTATTTTTTAATCGTTAAATTTAATTTTCTTTAAAAAATTGTACACGTTACAACAAGTTGGTCGTGTACAATTTTTAACTCCGCCTACTTAAAATTGATGTAGTCGGTCCCAAACTCGGATAAAGGAGGAGGGTTTATATTTTATTAACTTTAAAAAGAAATCAAAAAAATATATTTTTTGTAAATGTATTTCAAAAAATAATTCGTTTTTATTATATAAATTTTTATACTTTATAAAAAGTATTACAAATTACAATATGATGTAAATAAAAAAAATAAAAACTTGTTCTCGTTAAATTATTTAGTATTTTTTAACACTTTTTATTTTTAAATCGGCCCACGACCTCGGACGAGCTATGAGCTCGTGGGCCGAGCCGAGCCCGAGCACGAGCCGAGCTCGTGGCATTAAGGGCCGAGCCGGCTCGGCTCGACCCATTGCCAACCCTACTTGGAATTACTTAATCAATGTACAATCTGTCGTCAGAGAAAGTGCGAAGTTACAACTACCATCAATTTAATAGACGTATCATACAGCAAGACTTATTTTTATTCACTTAGGTGAACAAAGTTAACACAGGGTGCACATAGTAGAAACCTGATGAAATATTTGATTAGGTAAACAGAATTAACGAAAAAATGAAACTAAAATTATGTTGATTGTATTCTTCAAGCACGTTTAATTTTTCACAAACAAAAACTGCTAGCGAGGTACAATATGTGGACCAAATGGCTTGGAATGTAGCGGGTTTTGAGCCTTTGGTCCTTTTCATTATCCACTTGAATGCAAAATATGTTGGGCACGTATCAAAATTCTTTATTTATTACAATTTTGTTTGTCGTATGACAAATATAGGTAAGGCAAAATTACAAAAACCTCCTTCAAGTTATTGACTATTACAAAGACACTTCGTTTCTCCTTTACAAGTACATGAATTATTAAAAAAAATAAAAGATATTTTGAAAAGATTATTATAGAAATATAACAATATTTATTTTAAAACATAAAAAGGAGATTATTATTGATTATTACAAAGACACCTCGTTTCTTCTTTACAAGTACATGAATTATTAAAAAAAATAAAAGATATTTTGAAAAGATTATTATAGAAATATAACAATATTTATTTTAAAACATAAAAAGGAGATTATTATTGATTATTACAAAGACACCTCGTTTCTTCTTTACAAGTACATGAATTATTAAAAAAAATAAAAGATATTTTGAAAAGATTATTATAGAAATATAACAATATTTATTTTAAAAAATAAAAAGGAGATTATTATTGACTATTACAAAGACACCTCGTTTCTTCTTTACAAGTACATGAATTATTAAAAAAAACAAAAGATATTTTGAAAAGATTATTATAGAAATATGACAATATTTATTTTAAAAAATAAAAAGGAGATTATTATTGACTATTACAAAGACACCTCGTTTCTCCTTTGCAAGTACATGAATTATTAAAAAAAACAAAAGATATTTTGAAAAGCTTATTATAGAAATATAATAATATTTATTTTAAAAAATAAAAAGGAGATTATTATTGACTATTACAAAGACACCTCGTTTCTCCTTTACAAGTACATGAATTATTATAAAAAAAAAAAAAGATATTTTGAAAAGCTTATTATAGAAATATAACAATATTTATTTTAAAAAATAAAAAGGAGATTATTATTGACTATTACAAAGACACCTCGTTTCTCCTTTACAAGTGCATGAATTATTATAAAAAAAAAGATATTTTGAAAAGCTTATTATAGAAATATAATAATATTTATTTTAAAAAATAAAAAGGAGAATTGGGCGTTTGTTCACACCAATGGCTTCCTCTCCATATGGCTCCCAGTGTTAACTCCAGGAATCGAACTTTCCACCCTTGCTTCCAGCGTCCCAGCGAAGTGATTGTTCCACCAACTCGGATGTGCCCTGGGGGCATAGACCCCCGAACCCTTTTATCCGCCCCTTGGACTACAATGAGTAGAAGATTGCAGAGCGGGACAATAGGAGAAAGCATGGTGCTCACCCCATCTCGACTAAAATGTGACAAATAAGGACGACCAACTTATTCCACTCAAAAGTATAGGATAAGTAAAATTATCATATGAGTCCCATAATTTTATGTTATAATTTTTGAAATAGTAATTTTTAAAAAAATATATGATTGAAAAAGAAGAATTTTTTTTTTTATTTACATGTAATACTATTTTATTATAGAATATATAATTAAAAAGAGGAGAGAAAAAATATATTATAAATTTAGGGCCTGTTTGAACCACATTATTTTAAAAAAATGTATTCTTAAACAGTGATTTAACATTATTTTAATCACATATTTTTCAATAAAATAATATTACGTGTAAATCAAAAAATTTTTCTTATTTTTTAACTATACATTTCTCATCAATACACTATTTAAAAATGTATTATTACCAAAATAATATGACTCGAACACCCTATTCATGGAATTCAAACGGGACGAAATGACAAGATGCATAGGGAAGCGTGAATTTTTCTCCCCACAATACAAGTATATCCCTGACACCGTCTCTTAATTTGACTTATCCACTGGACAGCGAAAAGATGGGTGTAGTGAGTCACATATCTATCTGTTACGTGTCAATCCATTCATGGCCCCTAAAGCACGCATATTAACACTCCTTGTATCTCATCCAACCAAAACAGAATATCCCATTCCCAGTTTTCAATTTATCTCCTCCCAATTTACGTACATATATACTAAAGATCCGTTGTTTAACTACATTTCCCAAACATTCATAAAGAAATTGAAGTTTTGAGCCCGAAAAAATAGTTAAGGATGAGGACTCTGTCTATTTCTTCCACTGCGACCTCCCTTCCTCAAAATCTTCCCAAACATCCAAATTTTAGGCGTGCATCCATGTCTGCCAAGTCCCAGTTTAGGCTACATGGACAACGTACATACGTGTCGGGATGCAGAACTCCCAGCAGCTTCAGGCTAGTTATAATCTCACATCAATAATAGATAAAAATAAAGCTCCACTACTCCTTTTAACAGGATTGATCTTTATGTGTAGTTCGACTGCAACAGCTGGGGAGAATTTGCAGTCAACCTCCGTCTCTGTTCCAACATCGGTACCGGTTCGTGTGGCGCATGACCTATATCTAGCTGGTCATCGTTATTTAGACGTTAGGTGGTGATAAATTACGAAACAAAATTCCAATTTTGCAATAGAATTTTACGTATTTTGTTAGCAAATATTATTGTTGTTTATTTTACAGAACCTCGGAGGAATTTAGTAACGGACATGTTCCCGGTGCTGTTAATATTCCTTACATGAATAAAGTTGTTTCTGGTTTGTGAATCTCGATCAATAATCAGATTTTTTTTATATACATATATAACATTTATTAAATTAATCTTTATTTCGCTGTGATTATGAACGACATGGAGGTATGACGAAGAATCCCAATTTTTTAAAGGAGGTACAGCAACATTTTGGGAAAGATGACGAAATAATTGTTGTAAGTTTTTATTTTATTTTTTCGACAGATTGGCATTGTCATATATTTTTTTATTGATAATTGAGTATTTGGGTTATAATCTTGTGTAACTGCAGGGGTGCCAGCTTGGGAAGAGGTCTCTCATGGCTGCATCTGTACTTGTATCTGCTGTAAGTCATAATGTGGCAAATATATTTGTCCTGCCTAATTAGATAATTATTTTATTTTATTTTATTTTTGGGTAATTTCGTTTTTTAAATAAAATTTGCAGGGATTCACTGGTATTACAGATATAGCCGGTGGATATGCGGCTTGGACACAAAACGGACTTCCAACAGAATCATAGCCATTATGCTGAAGACAGACATGAACTATTTGGAATTCCTTTTATAATCACCAACCATTATAGTAATCTAGATAGTATTACAAAGAATAATAATTTTAGCACTTTTAACTAAAGATCTTGTCGAGCTCCCTCTTTAATTTGTACTATATTTTATTTTCATTATAAATAAAGAATGTCACTTAATACAAGAAAGTAAAAAGTTTGAACTGCAAAAGATTGAACGCTTCGATTCATCAACTTATATTACAATTTGTTTGAAAGTAAAAAGTTTGAATTGCTACTTATATTATTGCGTAAATTTTGCACTCGTCCGTCAGCTAAAACTTCTTTCCTTCCTTTACAAACATGAAGAAGGGAAGGTGCTTATCAATTACTTTTGATATGAAGCGGCTCAAGGCTGCAACTTGCCTAGTGAGGCTTTAATCTTTTCAAGATTAGCATCTATACCTAATTGGTTGACCATGTATCTTGGAACTTTTCTGAGGCGACACCAAACGCGCACTTGAGGGTCTTCAACCTCCTCCTATACCTTTTTGACATTTGGAAAGCTTCATCTAAGTTCTTCACATGATCCTTTAAGTCTCTTCACCAGCATTTCTATATAGACCTCTATCGTTTTACCAATGAGGTCGACAAATATCTTATTATGATATGTGGCCAAGGAATTTTTCAACCTGGAAAGCTTTACTTATACCAGCGAAGACCTTTGTCCATTATAAAGAATGTATGTTCTTCATCAACTAGCTATATGGGGATCTGGTTGTGGCCTGAATAAGCATCCATGGAACTTAGCAGTTCATGCTTGGCAATGGAGTCAACAAGCAAATCTATTCGTAGAAGAAGAAACCATCCTCGGGGCAGGTTTGATCGAGATTGGAGAAGTCAATAAATACTATCCGTCTTTCACTGTGTCTTTTGACAAGGATAGAGTTTAATACCCACTTTGAATAAGTGGCTTCTCTGATGAAATGATTGTTAATCAACTTTTTTACTTCATCCATCATGCCTCGTACCTTTCTGGGTTGATGTCCCTCATTATCGGGGCAGCCTTAGGATCAATTTTTATGTGATAACAACTAATTTTTGGGTCAATGTCAACCATATCCTCATGCCTTCAAGCAAAGATATCCAAGTTCTCACATAACAAGTGTTTCGACTTCTACTTAGCCTACGTTGGTAGATCTTTCCAACCTTGGTCCTGGGTATCTATTGGGAAGTTTTTCAACTCTTCAACTGGGGCTATTTGAGGTTCACAATTGATGACAGAAGGATTCAGTTCATAGAGTTTAGTCGCTTCTTCAGTAGCCCTCTCTTCTTCAGGGGCATTTATCATTCTAAAGATAGCCTCTTCTTAAAAAATATCTACCATTTCGATGTATTCTCTTTATTCAAGAGTCTGTTCTTGTTCAGGGACATCGTCAATGTCAATATCTATCAAAATTACTTTGACGTCCCTAGGTTCTGCCTTCATAAGGGAGTTCAAATAGCACTCTCTTGCATTCATTTGGTTGTCTCTAACAATTGCAACACCATTTCAATTTGGAACCTCATGCACAGGTGGTGGATGGATATAACGGCCCACAACTCCTTTAAAGTTGGTCTTCCGAATACCCTATGGTAGGCAGACCGATTGTCTATCATTAAAAATTCCATAAAATGATGAGTAGTCAACGATGCCATTCCCATTTCCACTGCAAGAGTGATTTTTTCTCTTAGGATGATGCTATTATTAGTGAAGCTATACAGGGAGGAGTTCATGAAGATTAGCTCATGGTCCTCCTCCATCTTATCAAAGGCTCAGAATATGATATCGATCAAACTCCCATTATCCATTAGAATTCTTTTGAGGCAATTTCGTGTTACAACGGCTCTTACTACCAAGACATCACAATGTAGGTAGTACAGACTCTATGCATCGTCTTTGGTGAAAATTAATGGGCTGCATCTCCTTTCAATTGGGAGTCAACTGTTGTTGACTATGAAGCTTGCCATGGAGGGATCTTTGGCCTATCTCACATTATTGCTTTGTGCATTTCTAGTCTATCTCCCAACGTATGTGTTGGCATATGGTTGATCATAACAAATAAAATTAATATTGTTTCTAACAATTTATTTTGAATGATGATAGTTTAATGTTAAAATCTATCAACCATTAGATATTGGACTTGAAATGAAGATCAAATTGAATGTTGCTTATGAATTCAAGTCAAATAATTTGAAACGAGAGCTTAAAAGATAAACGCCAAGAAAAATCGAGATCGAAATCAAGCATTGGACCAATGACAAGAAAGATAAAGATCAAAAGTTCAAGCGTCAAACATAGAAGAAACATCGAAGTAAGATCAAAGATTAGACTTTCTAGAGCATATGTAAATGTATGACACTTTGATCCTTAGTAACGAATAACAATGGCTCAAAAATCATTTTGTACATGAAAAGTTATTTTTCACTATCACTTGCATAAAATATTTTAATCAAAAGTAAGATTGATTTTTTTAATTTCATACTTGAACTTTGATCACAATTCTTAAAAAAAAAAAAAAAAAAAGGCAAACGAAATTTTAAAAAAGGTCGGGCGGGTGCATTGTCTTTATATCAATCCATTGCCAAACAAATCATACACACACACAGAGAAAACGCACAGGAAAAAGAGAGAGAGAGAGAGAGGAAAAGAAGAAGGAAGAGGTAGGCAATTTTTCAAATTTTGGTTCTCAATTTCTCTTTATATTCAAGAGATAAATGAAAATATTTTAATTAAATTTCTAGGGATTATAGATAAATTGCTTATGGTTGAAGTTTAGCAAGAACTAAATGCTATCAATATGTATTTAAGGTATTAGACAATAAGAATAATGTAAATTGGAAGATAGATGTTGAAGTGGAAAAACATATGAAATTGGGTTGTAAATTATAGTTTCATACCTTAAATTTCTTGTGTTCATATGATATAAACACTTGGTATATGAGGTATTAGAGTGGAATTAGGATTTATAGTTTTGATTTGGTATTTTCAACTCATTTTCTTCACTTTTTGAACAAAATTATCACACTGGTGCTATTTTTAAAATTCTTCCTAGAAAGTGCTATTTTCTGTCAATGGTTTCAGTGACACTTTTCAATACACAGAAATTGGTGCCAGATTTCAATATTCTGGAGATATAGTGCTGTTTTTTTATAATCTTTTAATTTTCTTGGATTTTTTAGTATGAAAACCAAATTAAGTGTTAATATTGAGGGTTAAATGTTAAAATAATTTATATAAAGGTATATATATTGTTAGTGATCGTAATTTGGGATTAAAAGATTGAAAATAAAAGACATCAAATTCCTATTGATAAGTTATTATTTTTAATGGTGAAAAAAATGATTAAGGCCCATTGATGAAGAGATATGATTTCTTGAGATGGGTGCAAGATGCATGCTTATTTTGATGTGAGGAGGTGACGAGAAGATTGAAGTCGCAATCGATCCACAACTTAGTGAGTGGAAAAACTTAAATAATTGCAAAGTATTTATAAAATAAGTATATTATTAATTTATGTGCAATTATGTGAATTATTTGTTCAATTATATGATTACTATGAAAGTTTCTTTTACTATGATACATGTGGAATTTCAAAAATTGTATATAGTACATTTGTGAATAGGATTGTGAGACATTTATGATATTGAGATCGACTAAAAAAGTATCCATGATTATATACTTCTTCTAGTTCACTGAGGGGCATTGGCTACGTTCTATACTACATTGAGGGGTCTTAAACCGTGGATGAAAGATTCTTGGACCGCGTACATATAGTTCACTAAGAGGCCTTAGTCGTGTTCTAAAATTGATTATCAGAGGTCTTGAGACCGACTTTCGTTTACAGAGGGGGCCAAAGGCCTATGGCAAAAGTCCTTAACCCGAGGGGTGGATTACAGGTTTTAGTCAAATTGTACATTTTTTGTGGATTACATGTAATGTGATGAGATAGTGATATGGATTTGAGTTGATATTTATACCATGACTATGAGATGATGTTTTACAGTGTTATAAGAATGTCTCAAATTTTAATGATTATTATTTGAAGTTATACTGTGAACTATTCAAGTGAGGTAAACTTGAATTTTCGATAAAATTATATAAATGAGAAAGCATAATTATTTTCAAAATCTTCCACTTACCGAACTATCAACTCATATATTTTTCTATAATTTTTCGTATAGGTAACAATTGATTATTGATAGATTGAAGAGCCTAATGATTTCAAAATTATAGTCATACAACATGTTAAGTGTTATGATTCATAATGATGAAGCACGAAGTAAATAATTTGGGCTCATCGCATTATATTTTACATAAACATTTGATTTCAGTGTATTTTTGTAATAACTCATAGTTAGTCTTGGTGATAGATTTGATATCTAGTTAGCATCTATCATTGGTGCACATCACATTTCAAGTCCATTAGAGTGATTCGAGACGGGTTGTGTCACGTTTTGCTCCTATTTTTTGGAAATGAAAATAGGAGTAATGATATTTTTTTTAAAAATGAGTGGCTGAAAAGAAATGAAAAGTTTTCAATTTACGTGTAATAATATTTTCTGGAAGATTGTGTAGTTGGGAATAGGAAAGAAAAAAATGAAATGTAATGAAATAAAAATTAATAGGGGTCAAACGGGTGCTCAGCTTAACCACTTTTTCAGTTTTTTGTTTTCAAAAATTTTTTCTCTTTAACTAGCTTTAACTAGTTTCCTTCTTATCCGACTTTGTGCCAAAAGATACCCAAAAAAGTGCACATTCATTCCATTTATGAGTGCCCTATAAGGAATGGTGTCAAACCCTCCCTGGCAAGGTAGCAGGATCGATCAAGAAATCCTCTCTAAAAAATTATTCCACAAAAGAAATAATTAAAAAAAATCGCTCGCACAAATTAATATGTAAGAACAGAAAAAGAAATATATTCATAAAATAGCACGTATTATGAACTACAATACTAAAATTATTCCATACAACACAACAAAAAACCTTAATTCATTCAACGAAGATGATGATGATGATGATAATGATAATAACCCGTAGGTCATAAGTTGGTAACCAGTACTGTGGACATAAGCACTCTTCACCTCAGCCTTTCCCCAATCCTCTCTATCACAAGAATTCCCAGCAGATTAGATAGTCCAGGGATTGGCGACTTACCCAATGACTTAATAATAATAATAATAATAATAATAATAATAATAATAATAATAATAATAATAATAATAACCGAAAATTAATTAAATGAAATAATCCATCCATGATGAAAATCCATCCTTCTTAGTGTGGCAAGTTTTAGGTATCAATTTGCACCGAACTCAACTATGTACTTATATCTTTCGTCATCAAATTTGATAGAGTAAGTATTGGATGATTTGATAGTAAAAGGGTTGTTTTGAAATAAACAAACAAAAAAGACAGAGTTTAATCCGCAGGAGCGTGATTAAACACAATCATATATGGAAATATTTATGGTCTATGAAGCACAAAGAAAACAGGAAAAGAAGAAGAGGAAGATTCGAGGCAAGTGAAATGTCACTCTTCTTTAAGATAATATTACTCTGCAATGATGCTCACGGATTAAGGCACTTATCTCCCAAGATACAAAACATATGAATTATGGCAAAAGTACTTCAAATCACAAGTTCCAGCAAACTTTTGGCAAAACTTGCCTATACGAGGAAGATAGTTTGGATGATTTTCGAGATGATTTTGTAAAAGATTCAATGCAATGCTTAATGCAAAAATGATATAGGATGCATTATGGATGTCAAAAAGATCCTATTTATAGAAAATGAGGGGTTGTAGGTGGAGTGATGCGTGTCAAAACTCGCAACTTTACGAACGGAAGCATCATTTGCTGTCGCTAGTCTGTCGCTGATCTCTCGCTCAAGTGACAGTTTTAACAAATTTACAAAAACTTTTCACTCGCCTGTTGCTCAAATGACAGAGTTAGGCAATTTTCTAACCAGTTTTTCTCT